ATATGTGAGAAGGAGGATTTTAAACCCTATTCTAGAAGATAGGAGATAGTCCAGCCTTGGATATTTGTATTATGTTATCGCAGTCCTGATCTCAACCCCTCAGAAAAATCGTGAGCCAAGCTGAATAGTAGTGTGTGAGAAAAGCAGCCACTAAACTTGACCCAGTTAACTGGTTCTGTCATGAGGACTGATGTTAAAGGGTTTGGTCAAAGAAACCAAAATGTTTGATCAACATAATTAGGTCTAAAAGTAGCTCTACTAAATGTTGACAAAATGGCTGCCCACTGCATACTGCCGTGCCTAAAGAGAGCAAATCTCTTAATTTCCAAAAAAGTTAAAAAACAATCCACTGGACTTTGTTTCCAAGTTTGAAGACGTTTCGCTTCACATCTGGGAAGCTTTTTCAATTCAACATATCAGAAATAGCATTGAGTTTGAGGCTTTATAGAGTGGACCAAAACAAGGCTTTGGCTTAGAAAACATGCAAATTGAACTGAAAAACAGGTCCAACCCTTTGTAATGGGGGTCGTTTGGTTTCTTTGTTAGCCTGTAATACCCGAAACCTGCCTACAGTATGTCCTGAAAGGGGAGTTGTTAAAGGGAATTTTTAGCAAATCTCTGAAGCCTTGGTTTCTGTATCAGGGGATCTGTTGGTTTGATTTGTATGTATTATACTCTTTTCTCACTGTCCGAAAAACCCGTTTAAACTCGGGAACAAGTGGCAGTGGAAACAGCTCACTGACGCATGTCTACCACGGTCAAACGACTCAGCAAGAGACCCACGTTAAATTCGCCTCAGCGCTGATCAGCATGCTATGGGAACACCAGAGCTGGGTCAAAACGCTAATTTACGAGACATTATTGACATATGGACGTCAACACACAGCGTCAGTCACTTTAATCTAACAACCGAAAAAACTCTGTTTACATTCAATTAACATGGAGAAGCTCTGGTGAGAGAGATTCAGACAGATAATAGAGCAAAACAATAAAGCACACTGACTCTTCCCTGGCTTCCTCCCATGTTGCTCTCAGTTGTTTACTTTCCTGAGTTCTGTCACACTGGTGACATCATCAAAGCTAAACCAGCATGATTTTGTCACCAGACACTCAGCTGCAGGGGGGACTGAGGCCACAAAGCTGCCAGTGGGGGATTAGACCCAGCTTTTATTACCAATGGGAAGGAAGCCAAATGCTGATTTTTAGCGGTTCGACCCGTGTTTTTAAAAACCCGCCTTAACCCACGATTTTCAGTGGGAAAAAGGCTTTAGTCAACAAAGATAGCTCGGTTAGTCTTATGGAGGGTCAAGTCCAAAGGAACCACAGCTTTCATCAGGATTAGTTTCCCGAAAGTGTTGGGTTCTTCTGATCTCCTTTTTCCAGGTAGTTTCTGTAATGAGCTCCAGGCCTGGTTCAGTTTTTGGTGAAAAGTCTCTCAGTCAGCCAGATAAAGAAGGAGTGCCATCCAGTCTCTCCCAGTTTGGGCCTCCACCCTTCAGACTGGGACTGCCGCCAGGACTCGTGTGTGATTTACTCCAAACCACAAGCAGTCGCCACCATATGCTTCAGATGACAACTCATGTTTAAAGCTTCTGTTAACTATCAACAGTCAGACCTCAGTAGTAACAGAGCTGCTGCCTTCTTGCACTTTTAAACTATGCTCAGGAGATTTATAAAGTGTGAAGCCTTTGCTGACGGAAGGAAAACTGTTTCTGTTGTCTGGTTTAGATAACTAAGCCATAGCATTTCAAGTATCTGTTCGTCTGAGCTCATACTTGTGGTCTTTTGGTGCAGACGGGTTCCTTTGACCATCATCATCTCAGAGAAGAACATTATGTGACAAACTTTGACTGTAGAAAGTTGGTTGGGCTTCAAGAGGAGAAAAGAAATCATAGGAAGAAATTTCAGTGGTTTTCTTTTTGCATCGGAGCTAAAAAAATCTGGCTTTCCCAGAAATTAACATTTTATTGAAGTTTAATGGAATAATTAACTAAATACTCACCAGTCACCATGGATGTTCATGTCATGCTGTTTTGGGATTAGAACACTTTATTTTGACTCCTCTGGGGTCAAACAATAAATCAACAGCATTCATGGTTTTTAAAAATATGGTATGGGTGCAAACAGTTGAGTTGCTGTTGGTCGACTTTAATTCACAAAGTTATGAAATGACAACTGTGATAGGATTCAGGTAAATGTCTATCAATGGGTTGGACCTTGAAGAGGATTTAAGTTAAATGGGCAAGCCTGATTGACAATATATGCCACTCAGGTTTGGTTCTACACATTATTAATCTGGGACTGCTCCAATCAAATCTTTTGCCATAAAGGTAGCCTGGCCTGACAGAAGTTTATCAGTTAAAACTCAGACTCTCTTCTAAAACAGACCGGACCAATCACAATGCGGGAGGCAGGAGTTTACACTTGCCCCAGAATTACCCATAATCAGAGTTGAGTATAGTACCCAAAAGTTGTACTCGAATAAGAGTATCATACTTTTTTAGTCAAATAAAAGTAAAATGCAATCTTCCAAGAAATTACTCAAGTAAACGTACAAAAGTATGTGGTTGAAAGGATACTTGAGTCCAGAGTAACTGTTGAATAATAGCATGAGGTTTTTAATCTTTAGAAATGATGCTGGCAAAAAGACTTTATTTGGAAGTTCTGGCAATTTAAAGGCTCAAACGCCTAAAGAATACCAATAAATGTCATCAATATAAAATAACAAATTAGTGCATAAGAAATGCTTTTACAGTACCAATTGTTTTAACAAACTACCACTGTTAATATCTACAGTTTACTGTATGTTTACCTGATCTTGCAATAGTTAAATTACTCCCAGAGGACAGAATACTCAGAGATTTTACCCAAGTAGGAGTATGGCATAGTAAGACTAGTCCTAAAAGTAAATAAAAAAAAAAACTTTACTCAAGTAAATCTAACTAATTACTACCCACCTCGGCCCATAATGCAAAATTGCTGTCTTTCCAGAATGATACACTGTGTATAGGGCGCATTAGTCTGACTGACCAGGCTAGAGGACAGGAGGGTAGAACTTCATCCATTCATCTTCACCCACTTATTCCTGTCAGGGTCGCTGTGTGGGCTGATGCCTATCTCCATCAGTCTATGGGTGAGAGGCGGGGTCACCCTGGACAGGTCGCCAGTCTGTTGTAGGGTAAAAGAGAGACACACAAAGACACACCACCATGCACACACACACACACACACACACACACACACACACACACACACACACACACAGAGAGAGCCAATAAACCTAACAGTCATGTCTTTAGACTGTGGGAGGAAGCCATAGTCCACAGAGAGAACCCACACATGCACAGGGAGAACATGCAAACTCCATGCAGAAAGACCCTATGCCGGGAATCAAACAATCTTGCTGGAAGGCAACAGCGCTACCCACTGCTCCACCGTGCAGCTCTGGAGGGTAGAACTTACCTCAATAATATGTTTCAAGTGGTTTTGCTACCATAAAAAAAGGCAATAGAGCATTCCAGCTATTTCTATGAGCATGCATCCCAGATCTATGCTTGCTAGTAAGCACTTTTTCAAAGTTTACAGTAAAGTCCTGCAAAGTAGACTCTGGACAAACAAGCTTTAAAGGTCATTAAAAAATACTAAAACCTTGAAATGCAAATATGCTCGTGGTTAGTATGAAAGAAAAATCGAAATACAGTTGTAATTTTGGTTGAACGTATTGGCAATTTTTATTGTTGGCAAAATCATTACTGCCTACCAGAGTTTGGTTTTAGCCAATCATGGTCAATGAAATAGCGGCAGACTTCAAAAGAGACAAGTTAGGTTTTACATTCTCGCTGTTGAAATTTAAAAAATGAAATTGTTGATTCTGACAGAAGAGATGAAAATAGCTGCTATGCTTATGTCCCTCTGTGCTGCCATGTTTATTTGGCTTTGGACTCGGCAGCTCTTGCTTTGAGGCCACCTTTATGTCCTGCTGAAAACCATATTACTGAAATGTGATTGAATGACCTGTTTTGGGTTGGTCTTGAACAGTTGAAGCGGGACAAGATTATATTCTCATATTTATTAATACACAAATAATTGGAGGCAAAGCTAACTTTAAGTAGCCATCAACAAGCTTTTGGTTTTCTGGGCATATCTCACTAGCAGGAGGCTTCAGGAAAATCTTTCTGACTGGAAATCGACCCTGCTAACAACAAAAACTTGTAGAATGACATAGTAAAAAAAGTTCAGCTTGTAGAACTGCCCTCAAGAGCATCACCAAGCTTCTGACTTTATTCTTACCTGATATTTCTTTGGATAAACCCATTCTGGACAAGTGTTTGAGATCATTGTTCAAGTTTCGGCTCCTGATTCGGGTTTTATTCATCATTAATTTCTTGACTTCCATAAAATAACAGCTGGCAGGGAAACAAGCCCACAGCTTGATGCCACCAACCCCATGTTGGAGAGTTGTTAACATGTTTTTCAGTTTGAAAATTGGGAAACAGGTTGTGTACAGCATAGACAGGGTGCCGGTCCATCACACAACAAATTATATCCGTTTAATCTACAATTCTATATTTTAGCTGTTTGAGGAAGCTGTAGTGCCCAGAGAGAACCAATGCCTGCACATGGAGAATAAGAAAACTCCACACAACATGACCAGTGACCAGGACTCAAACCCATGACCTTTTCACTATTAATGAGAAGTGCACCCGAACAGTTCAGTCCTAGTCATTCCAAAAAAATTAAAACAATCCACTGGACTTGGTTTCCGAGTTTGAAGACGTTTCGCTTCCCATCCTGGAATCTTTTTTAATTCAAAATGTCAGGAATAGCGTTGAGTTCAAGGTTTAATACAGTAGCCCAACAAAGACTTGTTTTTGTTTTGAATCCATATTGCATATTGGAACAGACTAAGGGGTCTGGGTGGACCTGGATGACTGAGAACCTTCATCAGCATAGTTCAGTCCTAGGTTTGAACATCTTAAATGTTAAAATGAGTCAAAGCCTGGTATCTTTATCTTCAAATTCAATTCAATAAAGCTTAACTGGACCCTTTTTCATACCCCTTTGTTCTCACAAGAGTACAAACAGAAATTTCAATTGTGTGTATGCACGTTTATGTGGATAACAACATTAGCAGTTCGCCATGTTTACAATAGCTTCCAGGTCTCTTACACAATAGTTAAAGTTACACAAGTAGCAACACTTACCGACTGCCTGCAGGAGAGGCTTTGATTGGACAGTGTTGATAGGAAGGTAGGCTAATCATAGCATCCTTCTACAGATACATAATTCCAGGAAGACTTTGTTGAGAGCACACTCTTGTGATCTTTTCTGGTTTAAAAAAAGCCTGCTTGAAAGGTTTTACCTTAAGGCTAATACACACATTCTGACATGGAAATGTCTGATTTCCGCTGATGGCTCCTTTAGGTGTCTAGAGCCCCAAATAATCATCCTTCTACCTTGTGATTGGTATGAGGATCCAGTTGGTTCTCTGGATTGCTTTCAAACACCTCTACTTTGGTCCGATCTGTCCATAGGATACTGTCCCATAAGTATTTTTGCTTCATTCAAGTGCAGAGAAACCTGATGCTTTCATTTCACTATGCCTGTGATCTGTGAATTCATTACACACAAAGCGTGCTAAAGCGATTCCATGCCGTTGGTCTAGACGCAGTCACCCACCTTTCTTTTTATATCACCATTTCTCAGACCAAGTGCTCCCTCTTCTCTCTCTACAGATATTGACATGAAGAAAGACATCGAGACTCTGATAGCTGAGGAACGAGCTGACATCATCCTAAAATATGCTACAGTAAGTTTCTGTCTCCTTTAGCCAAGAGGAGCTTCCAGCTGATCTTCATGTTGAATCTTCATTGTGGTGTCCTAGTGGTTAGAGCAGGGGTCACCAACATGGTGCCCTACGGGGACCAGGTAGCCCCCAAGGACCACATGTGGTGCCATCAAGCCTGTTCTAAAACTAGCACAACCTTTCAGTGAGCTGCCTCTAAAAGGTTATTTTAGTCTGTTGCTCTACTTTTGTAATCACACTGACACGTCTTAAGATTTAAAAATGAGAATATTTAAATTCAATAAAGCATTGCAAATATGTTTATTGGTAAGCGCTGACCCTTGTAGTTCAAAGGTCAGTATTGGTAGCCCCTTCACGAGACACGGTACAGATGAAGTAGCTCTCAGTTTAAAAAAGGTTGGGGACCCCTGGGTTAGAGCATTGCGCTTGGGTCCAAGAGGTTCTGAGTTCAAGCCCCACACACTGCCACAGATTGCCACTGTGGGTCTCTGAGCAAGACCCTTAACCCCACACTGCGCCCCGGCCGCCAACAGTAGAAGCCCACTGCTCCCCAAAGAGATTGGTTAAATAATTAAGGATAAAGGATTTACATTCAATGGAATGTTCAGGGAAATGTGACTGGTGGTTTGAAAGGCACTGGGGGTACTGGACAGGATGGACCCAGGAGTTAAAATGTGTTTGTGAGCTTAGGTTTGTGCATGTGTAGAAGACAATACATGTGTGGGAAGATCCATGTTTGGCTGCCAAAGTGCTTTTATTATGTAACAGTGCATTTATCTGATTTAAGATATATTAGAGAGTATCGACAAAGATTTAGAGAGATCTTTATTTTGAAGAAAACTCCAATACTTCATTCAAAACTTTTTGGATCTTTCTCCATAAACCTGAATGCACGTTTGAGACGCAGCCTTGATCAGATCTAAGTTTTTTTTACGAGTTAAAACTTGTCAATCTGCAGTTTTCTGCTTCTTCTGGGTTAATTTGGCTAAATATGCTCTTTGTTTGCTAATGTCCCTCATTGTCTCATTCCAAACGCCTTTTCCAGGGTACCTGGAAAGGCCTGGAATTTAGATATTTTCCAGGTGGGAATAAGGATGGAGAAATATCCTTCCAGTCTGAGTTTGTGGGTCCCAGTTTGCCACTTTTGGGCTTATTAGAAACAAGGGTTGTTTCCTGCGGAGGGTTCTGGTGAAACGCTGCAGTTTCAACACCTACCGTAGTTTCTTTTATTTGATCAATTTATTCTGACCCAGTTCTGGGCCCCATATTTTCCATCTAAAGCAGGTAATATACTGACTGCTCAGATCCACCCCAGACAACCACACTGTTAATCTAAAAATCCATCTGTTCAGAAATGTCTCAGTTCTGTTGAAGGTCCGGTTGTTTTATTGGGTTTTTTGAAGCAGATCTGAATCAGAGCCGCTCCGCCTGCCTCTGTTGCTCCACATATCCTCAGAGTTGGAATATTTTTAGTTCTTTCACTTTCATGGTGCTGACATCACTCCTGAGGCCTCTTGGGTTCACTGTTCCAGCGTAAGCCAACCACCTCCTCCTCCTCCTCTTCATCAGTGTGAGCAGGCGGCTGATTGGCTGTCATCCAGCCACACAGCAGTGTTGTAATGCAGAGCAGAGCATAAAGCCTCTCCTGCAGGCTGATCTCTGTTATGTCAACACTTCAACCAGAAATGTATTTTTTCTGAATTTAAAGTAAATTCTGATGGTAGTTTGGCTTAAATTGTTAATACTACGCTCCCAATTTATTTTAGTAGTACTGTCTACTCTTTGTTTATTCGATTTTATTTTAAAATCAACCCCTTAAGATTATTTTTGTTACTTTTTATGTATTAATACAAAATCACTCAATGTTGTTCTTTTTTAAAATAAGCTAAAACCAAAATTTAGCATTTGATCATCTAAATCTTCAGCTTGAATGGTTCTGAATTTTTATCAGATTAATTCAAACTTAAAGTATGACGCATCATGTCCGGTGTTTGTTTCTGTTTCCAGGGCAGGCAGGGCAGCGTGGAGATCGATCCGTGGGAAGATGCTGATTACAGCATCTATAAAGCCATCGACCGCTTCGGCTTCATGCAGTAAGTCACAGCATCACATGGGGGCGCTGTTAGGTTTAACCTGATTGTTTTCGTTTTTCTCCTCCAGTGAGAATGAGTTGCCGGCCCCCACTGTGCAAGAGGAGAAGGTGAAGACCGGAAACAAGCTGAGAAATCCAACATTATTCAGATTTTATTTAGTCACCTTCTTCTGTCCTCTTCGCAGTGGAAACAGCTGGAGATTGAGAGAGCAGAGAAATGGCTGAAGATGGTGAATAAATGGGACAAATATAAGAACAGTGACAAGGTGAGGGACTGCTTGGATTCTACAGAAGCTAAAATGACCAAACTCAGAACAGAGTTTTCATTTTAGACAATTCAGACCAGGATATGAGCCAAAGGGAAAGAAAACAAAGCTGCTGGTCTTATTGTTTGGGCAACAACTTTGAACTTCTTAAGTTTAAAAGGGCCTTTGTCCTCATTGTCCTCCCAAATGTTCTGGTATACGCAGGAAGTTTTCTGCACCTACACCCTCAGTTTCCACCTGTCTGTGCAGGTTAGGTCACCATCAGAATCTTAATAAGCTTATTATCAGCATGAGAGCTGGTAGTTAGAAGTTGTTTATTTCTTAGATAACGTTGCACAGCGCCAAACATCTTTCCCCTGAGATGAATTGGTTTTAATGCCAACTAAGGCTAAGCAATTGATTGCATTTGCAATACTATTGAAATTTAACAAAATGCAATTTTCAAATTGCAGAGGGACTGATTTTTAATCGCAATATATTTAACAAGAGTAGGACACAACATTTCTCCCTCCAGCCCTTTAGATGGTGGTTCAACCCTTGAAGTGAATTTGTCGCCAAATGGAACGGTAGAAAGATTAGATTAGATTGGGGCGACAGTGGCGTTGGATGTAGGAGTTTGCCCTGAAATCGAAGGATTGGCGGTTCAAACCCCGACTCCGACTTTCAGTCTCATTGTGTCCTTGGGCAAGACCCTTCACCTGCATTGTCTACTGATGGTGGTCAGAGGGTGGCGCCGGAGTACGGCAGCCCCGCTTCTGTCAGTGAGCCGCAGGGCAGCTGTGGCTACAATGTAGCTTGCCACCATCAGTGTGTGCGTGAATGCAGTGTAAAGCGCTTTGGTCAAGTCTCCTGACTTGAATAAAGGCGCTATATAAGTACAGGACATTTACCATTTAGCAAAGATTAGCAGCTAGGAGCAGATCCATGCATGGAAGTAGAAGTAAACACTTTTCTACACAATGGTTACAGTAAAGTCCTGTAAGAAAAAAAAAAGCTCTTTGAGTTTTTACAGTTTTTATCTGCAGCCTGAAAACCTTCCCAGGTCTTCTATCAACCATCACAGTTGACTAATGTGGGCACAATTTGGAGGTGTGAGCGACCCTTTTTTCTTTAAGTCCAACTCCATCGGCGAGTGTAGAGCATTTTGATGTGCAGAGGCACCGGCCTCATATTTACTGATGTGCGGATAATATTCGGGCCACTGATTCCATCCAGCTAGGCCACTCTGGGATAATGATTAAAATTGACATCAGCATTTGGACTTTTTTATTTATATATCAGGTGACCACTACAATAAAGCACAACCCCCCTCCCACTTTAATAAAAGGCTTTTATGAGGCAATGTTCACATCTGGTGCCCCAGATGTCATTATAAAGCCACACAAATTAAAAAGCCACTCAAACCTGTCTGCACTGAAAGTTGATTCCTAACTAGAAGCCTCTGGAAAAATAACCAAACAGTGTTTAAGAAGCATTCTAGTCAAATCAAACGTACTTTATCACCTCAATGCGAAATGTGTTTATCAGTATTAAAGTACTAAACAAATCAATCTGAAACCCAAAAACAGGTGGAATCAAATTGCAGTAAAACATGGGATCCTGCTCATCCAAACGTTTTCTAAATGAGAGAGAAAAAAAAAAAAAAAGAAGAAGTGAAAGTTGGTTTTATATGCCAGATCTTTTCACTGCAAAGAAGTTTCATCTAATAAGTGATTTTTTCTTAAAATAAGTGCATTTTGTTCTTGAAATGAGGAGGAATTGTCAATGGAATAAGACAATTTACATTTAAAATAAGAAAAAACAATTGTATTGTCTTATTTTAAGTGCGTATTATCTTATATTATTTTAAGAGTAAAATACTCATCTCATTGGCAGATCATCTAATTTACCTGCTTAAATCAGGAGTAAATTCCCTTTATTTAAGACATTATTACTTTTTTCTACATTGTTTTTAAAGTTATGTCCCTGAAATAAGCTGAGAGATGCAGGAAGTCTTATGATCGCCCTTCTGTCACAAAAAAAAAAAACTCTTAAGAGAGGCGGAAGCCTCCAAATACTCCAGAAATACTGGCTCCTAATTATCTGAAATAATCCGAGGTGGGATTCTCCAGTGTGACAGTGTGTGACAGGCTGAATCTGAATCTGTTTCTGAGGCGTCAGCTTTGTTCCTGTGAGAGCGGAGCGCCTGGCGGCGATTCACTCCCCCCCCCCTCTGCTTTCAGATGGTCAAACGGGTGTATAAAGGCATCCCCCTGCAGCTCAGAGGCCGGGCCTGGACGCTGATGCTGGACGTGGAGCGAACCAAACGGGAAAATGAGGGAAAATATGAGGTTGGAATCACATCTTTCTTTATGCTTTGTCCTTTTTTTCTGCTTTTAACAGAGTTTGTTTTGCTTCATAGAAAATGAAGGAACAGGCCCGGCTGTGCTCCTCAGAGATCAAACAGATCGACCTGGACATCAACAGGACCTTTAGAAACCACATCATGTTCATGGACCGCTTCGGGGTCAAGTAGGTCGCTATGTTGGGCCCCCTGGGGTCTCCTCCTTTAGACAGGATAAGGAAGGATTCCTTCCATGAATGAATGAAACTCATCATGGCCCAAAACACCAGTTTCAGCTGCTTTTCTTCTTGACATTTATTTACTGCCGATTTTAATCAGCTCCAGGGCCCCTGTGGTGGCCCCTGTGCTTTAGCACTGCTCTGCCAACATTGGCTTAAAGGCAACTCAGCTCCAAAAGTGACATAGATGCAGTTCAATAAGATGCGATGAGTTACATTGGTATTTATTTAAGGAGGCAGAGACAGAGCAGCCAAACGGGGGAAATATATATTAACTCCAATAGACGTACAGAGAACTGCTTCATGAGAGAAAATTAGGATTTGATAAAAGAGCTTCTAAAGAACTAAGTAGGGGATTTTCTTTCTGATTTAAAGGAATAGAGGACGATCTTTTATGTTCGGGTGGATCATCAAAATAAGTGGTCCTCCTAATTGTCATTCATTCTGGTGATAGGTTTATGTAAGGCCGTCCTATGTGCTCAGCCCGTCTCTTTCTGCACATGCGCACTTTAAGTCGTATATCTGAGGTGAGCTACGGTTTCATTGAAGCTCACCTTTCTCACCACAGTTCTTTGAAAATGGCCGAGGGTTGTAAGAGAAAAAATGTCTACGAAGTGTATGAGAAGAAGAGAAAGGCCTCAGAAGAGGAAGATATATCCCAGACCTCTCTTCGCAAAGCATTATGGGATTTGCTGTCACAGTGGCCTGCTTTAAACAACAACAACGTGTGCATGAGGAGAAATGTGCTTGTGAATGAAAATCACAGCCGTTCCCTCTGGGGAGCCAGTACAGGATTGTGCTCGTGCATTTTTTTTTTTTAAGTGGAAATATTCACGAAAATCCTCCACAATACCTTTAATTAGTTAAAATGATGCTGTCTGTGGAAAAAAAGCTAAACTATATGATGAAATAAAACTGAGATGAAAGAACAAAAATCATTGTTATAAAACAAATACTGGCGGAAAGAAACATATTTTCTCTCCCACTGATCAGCTATAGACTGTAGAAAATAGTCGGCACTAAACGTACAGTATTAGTATTCGTTCTAGTTACCGTCCAGCTCTGGAACAGTTTAATGGGTTGATTGATGAGACGACTTAAAGTGCCTTTTCCACATTTAGTTGTGTAACAAACTTTAAGATGCACAGTCACATTATAAGCCTGTACAGAAAATTGCCACAAACCACCTGATCCTGATAAAATAATGTTACATAAACCAAGTGTTTGTCCTCATTAAGTTTAGATTTTTTGAGCCTACGCTGCAAAAATGTGTTCAAAATAAGTAGAAAATGTCTTAAAATTAGAGTCTTTACCCTTTAATTGAGCAGAGAAATCAAATGACTTGTCAATAAAATGAGTATTTTTACCCATAAAATAACATAATTAGATATTATTCACTTAGAATGAGAGACTGATGTTGTTTTTTTCTCTATTTTAAATGTAAATCGTCTTGTTCCACTGGTAAAGAGTCAAGCTTAGCTGCTTAATTCAAGACAAAAATGCACCCATTTTAAAAAAAAAAAACAAAAATTAAAATTTTTGCAAGGGAAATAGAAATCCAGCAAAAGCACAATCAGCAGATTTAAAGAGACGTGGCGACTAGTGGAGCGCAGCCGTCCTGCAATGCCTCACTATAAAGCTGCAGCTCGCTTTGGCTGAAAACCGACTCATGTTGGCCAAAATCTTTTTCTTTTTAAATAAACACAAATTAAACACATTAAAATCTGAACTAAATCTGATCCTGAGTAGTTTTCTGTTATTTCTGTTTATTTTAATCAGTCCATCTATAATGTTAGAACTCAATAGAGACTAAGAATAGCATTTCTGTTGCTTGTATCGGTTTTATTTCATTACTTATACAACTTTGTTAGACGATGCTAACTGGGTTAGCCCGATGCTGCCTTGTTTTCCCCCTTACTCACGAGCAGTATTGGTTCCTCCACTAAATCTTTATATATTAAAAAACAAATCATAAAGTCTAAAGATAAGTAACCAGCAGCAGAGCGTGCTAATCTTTCACATCAACATTATTACTGATGGATACACTTAAAAAATAGCATATAACGTGTCTATGCATATTTTAAATCTCTAATTAACTACTACTCTACTATCTAGTAGAGTAGAGGGATTTAAATCTTATGAAAGACTGAGACAGACTCTTTTAGCTGTGATGAATTAATAACCATCATTGTTTTCTGGATTGTTTTGCCTTTCAGCGCTGAGATGTTTCTCTCTTTTTTCCCCCTCAGGCAGCAGTCTCTCTTCCATGTCCTCTCTGCATATTCAGTTTACAACACGGTAAGTAGCCTCCTTCCCTCCAGATTATCCCATAATAATCCATCTCAGATGGGAAATGTTTGCAGCTCTGGTGAACAGCACCATCCTCTGCTTCTCCGATCTGTTTTCAGTCTTTTAACATCGCTGCCTGTAGGAAACATGACGTTAAAAAGAAGGATGTTTTCTAATGTTTTCCTGTTTTTATTATCAGCTGCAGACAGATTGATCCCAAAAAATCTATTTTTTATGTGTCAGTAGAGACGATGTCTCTATATTCTGTAGGGAAATCTTACTGGGGACTGTATTTATGTAGGATGACCAGAAGCAGCCACAGTTAAAGACCTGCAGGAGTGGAAAAAGTCATGATGTCAAGGTTTGTTTGGGTCTCTTTATGTCTGTGTTTTCTGTCGCCTGCAGGAGGTGAGCTACTGCCAGGGCATGAGTCAGATCGCCGCCCTGCTGCTGATGTACATGAACGAGGAAGACGCCTTCTGGGCCCTGTCGCAGCTGCTGACTGACGAAAGGCACGGCATGCACGGTGAGAAGTGATTTCACTTGAGGCTGGCAGCTCATAGCAGTTATAAACATATTCAGGTTAGAAGTCCAGACATCTAGAGAATTAAAAGCAACCAAATGAAGATTATAGCTGAAAAATGGTGACATTACACTGCAAAAAAGCAAAAACTTGATAAGTCATTTTTTCTTAAAATAAGTGCATTTGTTCTTGAATTGAGGAGATAAATGAGACATTTTGCCAATGGAACAAGATAATTTAGATTTAAAATAAGAAAACACAATTGCATTGTCTTATTTGAAGTAAATATTATCTAATTATCTTATTTTAAGACTAAAAATAGTGATTCCGTTGGCAAACTATCTCATTTACCTACTCAAATCAAGGGTAAATACACTTAATGTCAGACATTTTTACTTATTTCTAGATCGTTTTAACAGTGTATCTATGGAAGATGTGCTCCTGTCCAGCATTATTAGCGACGATCGATGATGTAGGACGTTTTCTTTTCTCTGAAATACTGTGCAGCCAGATGCTTTTTATGGAGACAGAGCCTTGCAGCAGTTTCATGAAATGAGGCAGAAATAAATAGAAGATTTTTTACTTTTCTTCACATAGTTACTTTCTGTTTTAATGGTGCAGGTTTAACGGCAACAAAGCTGCAAAATGCCAAACCTATATTTCATCCCCGGATAATTGGGGAGTGGCTTGCTAGTGCTTGGGGCATAGAGCTTGGAATCCTGAGGTTGTGGGTTCAAAACCCACTCCCACAGACTGCCACTCTGGCTGGCTGAGCAAAGACCCTTAACCCCACACTGCTCACCGGGCGCCCCATGATGGCAGCCCACTGCTCCACAAGGGGAGGGGTTAAATGCAGAGGGAAATTCCCCCAGTTATCTTTCAATAAAGTTCAATTACCTTATCTTTAATTTTCTCTCATCATGTTTGGTCAAAAAACACGCTGAGTCTTTTAAAATGCGGATATGAGATCGTCGTTTATTTTGCTCGAATGCTGGGAAAAATACCCAAAATGGACATGTGGCTTATTGACAAACTTCGGGTAAATCTCAACGGCTGCGCTTCAGTTGGGAACAGATGATTATCAACCAGGCGGATCAGAAGGGATGAACATGTTCATAGAGTTGAAGGATGGAAGGATCGCCTGGTTCTGCTGGAGGTTTCCTCCTGAGTTTTTTCCTCTCCACTGTCGCTACAAGCATGCTTAGTGTGGGGGATTGTATTTGAGTCAATGAGTCGATGCAATCAGCTGGTTTTCCTTAGATAGAAAACTTTGAATCAATCTGACTGGATGATCTGGTGAACTGGAAAGTGACCTGAGATGACATGATGTGAATTGGCGCTATAGAAATAAACTGAATTAAATTGAATTGAAGGATCTTTGTGTTTCATTTCCAAAGACTCCGGCAGCTCATGGTCACAGAGAAGCTCCTCTAAACGACGTTCCTTCCATTTAAAGACTGAAAGCTCATTTTTGGGGCTCCGTTTGTTCTGGATCTTTGATATTCTCTGGAAATCCTGAAGGTTCAGAACCACTAGTTTGGAAAAACAAACGATTCTAATTTGGAAAACTGATCCATGGATCTCATCATTCTTGGTTCTGAACAAAGAATGATGGGTTTTCATCCATTTAAATGCTATTTAAGCTCTTCATCCTGTTCTCCCTTCATTTCAGGGTTTTTTGTTCCTGGGTTCCCCAAACTTCACAGATTCCAGGCTCACCACGATCAGATCCTTTCCAAACTCCTCCCCAAGCTGAAGAAACACATGGTGAGATCCCCGTGGAGGCGCCACGACGATGATGATGATGATGATGATGATGATGTTTGATAGCTGGTGTTTGTCTCTCTGCAGGACAGGGAGCAGATGTCGGCGGGGATCTATTGCACCAAATGGTTCATGCAGTGTTTCATCGACAGGGTGAGCGAGCTGATCTCTGTCTCCTCCTACGGTGGCCTGTTAGGACCAGATCACAGAGCTCATCTTGAAAACATGAATTGTTTTGCAGCTTGCATAACAAAGAGCTCTTTGTTCAGTGGATCTTAGATGTTAACTTAGATCTTAATTTGACAAAGGCTGAAAGGTTTCGTGTGATCTCAGTGGCTCTTTTAAACTCTTTTTTATTCAACAGTTGTTTTATAAAAGTTTAAAACTGTTAAATGTTGATGGTTGCTCCATACTGAGACCCTGTTATTAGCAGAGGACTGTAGATCCTAATAAAACAGTAGAATCTGCAGACAAATCATCAGCATGGTTTTGGTTTCAGTAACAGTTAAAAGGATAGAACAGCGCCCCCTATAGGAACCAGTGGCCTGCTGGTAAATTTGGATGGTTTGAGCAGGATGGATCCTGGTGAAACCTGAACCTTGCGTCAGGAGCTGTCAGGCTCCACTGTTATTAGGCTGTGTGCCCGCAGTCCTGTGGTGGCGATCTGGCAGCTTCCAGCCTCTGTCAGCACTTCTTCCTCCTGCTGAGTGGCTCAGAGAGGTTTGGAGAAGAGCCACATAAACTTCCTGACTCGGACCAGCAGCAGCAGCAGTGTTAGTGTGAACCTCTGGATGAAACGGGGAGCCATGCTGAGACGTAGTGACCTGCTGTTTGTTATCTGCAGACGCCGTTCACACTGACCCTACGGCTCTGGGACATTTTCATCCTGGAGGGAGAGAGACTCCTCACTGCCATGTCCTACACCATCCTGAAGATACACAAGAGTAAAGCAGCTGGATGGATGGATGGATGGATGGATGGATGGATGGATGATGGATGGGAGGATGGATGGATG